TCATTTTTCAGTATTTCTAGGAAAATGATTATAACTTGCCAACTTGTGCAAAAAAAGTTATGTGGACATCATCAATTTATTTATTTGTTCTCCAGATACAATGAACTGCTAAGTTTTTTTTAATCTCATCTCCTCAATATCTCTTTAATGTGCCAATTTCTCTATTCTCAAACTTTCTACCCTACCCAGGACCTAGCATCTGTTTTGAAGTGGCCCTATTTAGATGATGCTGAATTGTGATGCTGTAGTAAAATCAAGCTGTGTTTTACTCAGTCTCACAGTTTACATATGAAACACAGTATACGTTGTGGCAGTCTGCCACAATTAACAATCATGTTTATATCAGATAAGCCTGTAGGTATGCTGAAGAATTCTGGGACATTTGGGTGTTAGTGGTGGGACAATGGCCAGAAAAATACATTGCCATCTTGGAACTGGTCGAAGATACTATTTTGATACTATCATGTGGAGTTCACAACACCCTTGAGAAAACTGGGCCATCAGCAAGTTGTGTCTCCATCTGAATCATGTAACATCCTTCAATAACTCTTGTACCATTTCCCATTAAAAGTAATTCACATTTCTTAGTTCTGATTGTTAGTATCTTCTTTGCATTTAATATCATAAAGCTTTAGGTATCGTGCAGTTATTTACTGGGATCATGAGCACAGCTTTCCTGACTAAGTTCTCCTTTTCCAGACCATGCTAAGGGGGTCATCAGAAAGAACTTTCTAAATGGCAATTCTTTTCAAAGACCATGGAATCCCAAATAAAAACAATGACTACTTAAAAGTTGTATCTTAGAACTGTGTCTTTCATTATAAAATCCAAACCAGTAAGTCCTTGCAGAACATCCATGATGTACACAGGGTTCACTTGTCCAGTATGATTTCTAATTTCAATGTAAAACTTGATCCTCTGATCCATACATATTAAGTGTTTTAAGTATGCACTTTACATGTTTTATATGCTTTTAAAAATATACTATGGTTATCAATGTATTCCTGTCACTCCCTTCAAGTTTGCAATTCTGCTTTCCCTCTAATCCACTAGAATTTGAACATAGTGACAGGGAAGTTTGACCTTATGAATGATTGCCATATATGTTAAAAGGATATCTTGAGATACTAATTAGACATTTTATTATTTAATCTTTTTCATATGTGTTCTTATATAAAACTTTGTACAGTGGGTTTTAAAAATTAACTGAAAGGAGAATTGAGGAATATATGTTGCAGCTGGGTGCCAGGATCTCACACCTATAATCCTATCTATGTAGGAAATTGAATTTGGGAGTATCTAGGCTGCACCCAGTCCCAGCAAGGCATTTGCAAAACCCCATCTGAATCAGTATCTGGATGTGGGGGTGTGTGTCTATCAACCCTAATTATGTGGCAGTTCAATTCCACTCCATTATAAATTTGCACGTTGACTTTGTGAACAGGTATTCAACAATCTTTTGAAGTCTTTCAGATTTCCTTTGTCAAAATAGTCCATTTTATAATCATTTCTTTTCAGTAGAATAGTATAAAAAGCAGTAGGCTCATTGATATTTGAAACAATTGTTTTGTGACAATTGGAAATAATTTGCATCTTGCTGGTGCCAAGTACAAATACCTTGAACCACATGAATAGTTTATATGAAATTTTATCAAATTCTTTCCACTGATTTATTTACTGCAGCTTCTAATTTTTCATTAACATTTTTGTGTTAATGGGCATTTATTATTTAACACATTTCAAGAAATTAAAAAAATATAAATTAATACTCAGTATTATTATATTGATAAATAGTTCATATTTCAATTTATAGTTTATTATCTTCTTCAGAAATGTATTCCTACACTAATCTTAAAAGTTTGTTTTATTGTTACCTTCTCTACAGGGAAGGAAACAGACTCAAATGTATTGCTTGCTCCAAATCATAAGTACAATAATAACTTCTTAGATAAACTGTGAAAATTGCAATTTTAATAAATTGCAGTATTTTAATTGCAATTGAATATAGTATTTTTGTTACCAGGATAATTAATCTGTGCATGACATTAAGTAAGTGAGTCTCTGTGCACCTCTCTTCTAGCAAAGGTACACTGTGCCAAGTGATTAATGGGAAGAAAACAATTATCTTCCTTTCCATGGATTATCTTCAAAGTCAAATACTGTTTGTAGCTCTGTAAAATAATTATTTTGAAACCTTGGAAACTGCCGGTATTTGGTCATCTTTGACCTTTGAAATGTTAACTTCATTTATACCTATCCATCATATTACCACTTTGCCTTCATGGTTTTTGCAGGCTATTCCTTTGGTGGCCTTTTCCCCATTATTTGTTCCTTCAAGAATTAAACTCCTTTTCTATACTGTAAGCCTAAAAATTTTCTCTGTCTCACATACAAAAATACAGATCATTTTCTCCTCTTTTTAAGCACCATGTTTGTTTATATCTACCTTGTAGTAGTTATATTATTGATTGATACATAGATTTCTATCTATTATAATACATTTTTTATTGATTGTTTGCATTCCATGATTTTTTCCAGTATTTTTATATGTGTACCTGAAAAAACAAGTACAAGTATAGGGTAGGCAAAATGTGCCTCAGGACCTTCATGTACTACTCATAATTTACACCAGATAATGCATCAGCTTGTATTCTCATTCTGGCTCACAGAGTAGATTCACTTACTTGAAACTTAATATAATTAAGAACAATAACAATTTATTACAAAAGATCACTGTGAAGATTAGGTAAAATAGTTTATAGCACAATCCACAGGTGAGTTCTTATTAAAACAAAGTTATTTTTAGATTTTCTAGACTGCCATAATATATTTTCATCATAAAATTCAAATTACTATATGCAGGAAATTTAATGTACTGCATTTGAAAGAAAGTAGACAAAATTCTACTCAGAGAGCAAAGAAAAAAATAAAAAGAGAAACACTCAAAATTTGCTATAAGTTGGAATTATGCTTACTAGCTCCTCTCTCAATCTTTTGTGGCTGTTTTTATACACATTTTAAAGTTTCAAATGTTTTTTTTGTCCTTTCATAGACTTAGAAGGGCATCAATAGGTCCAGTTAAGTAAGTCTCAGAGAATAGTTTAGAAATGTAACTGGTGCAACAAATAGTGTCTTTGTTTAGAATTTTATTTGAAAATTAAAGCAAGGTCATTTCCATTGTGCTTTCACATGAAGTGTGCACGTGGAAGGTTAGTTCAGCAGCCTTAACAGAACTTCATATAGACCAATTGTGTTATATCACTGGCTTCCAATTTCTTAAAGCAATGCCACCTAGCAATAAAGATATTATTGGAAGCCCAAGTTATGAAATCAGTGTAAGTGTTGGTATGTTCACTGAAAAGGAGGTAGAATGTATACTGTGTATTGTCATGTGATTAAGCAAAAATATTTGAAATTACAAAGTGGAAATCTCTCTAGTCTTCTTAAGTCTTCATATAAAAAAGGAGACATTTCCAAAATTTAGTCAAAGTCCTGTGTTTAATACAGCACTTCATTTGCTTAGACAAAATGTTTATTTAAAAAATAAAGAGTACATATGCCAATAAGATAAATATCAGTATTATAATTTGTTAGCAATCTTACTTCAACACATATATACATAATGTACATTACTGGACACCATTCTACACATATCTCAACAGGAGAATGTCTTATGAAAAACACACATAATACATTAATTGTGTAAAAAACATTTACACGCTCATTCATAAACCTTAAAAGTAAATTTTAAAAGGTAAGTATTTGGAAAGAGTGAATTCAAGCATAATATATATGATATTTTTTAAGAACTTCTGTAAATGTCCCAAACCCCGGCCTAGCACAACAATAAAAAATTAAAAAACTAGAACAAAAACTAGAAGTTAAATATTCATATCTCCAGGTTTTTTATCTTAGGAAACTCATCAAATGGCAGTGAGGATTCGGAATATCAGAATTCTCTGCCCTTGACTTTACCCAAACTATCCAAAATATTTCCCTGATATGACACAGCATCCACATTTATTATTTTAAGCATCTATTGAATCAAACTGTCTTTATTGTTTAATTGAAATAATGATATGATTTAATTAGAAATGTGTGATGAGGAGAAATGGAAATGATTGTGGGGAGGTAATGTACAGACAGCACTGATTTTCTGACACTCTTCGTGCATGTGGAGCGTTTTCTGTTCTTTCAACTATAACTTTATAAATTTGGATCTGTCATCTTGCAACTGAAGATAGTTTTTTTAACAAGTTGTTAAAAGCACTTTAATTCTAGAAAATTCAAAACAATAGCTTCTATAATCAATTCACTTTAATTTCCAGAATTAATCAGTCTCACTATGTAATCTTGACAAGTGTATCTTTTTTCTGACAATAATGATCTATTTGACTGACACATTCATGTCTTGAAATAAAATAATTAATTGAGAACTGATTCATTCATTTCTCCATTCCTTCACTGTTTTATGACCTGAGATACGATGAAACTTACTTCAATGAAACGTTTCCTATAATTTTTATGGATCACACAAAATCATATACATTGCCTGTAAGTTTTAAATGCATTATTTTTGAAAATAAATTTTAAAAACTCATTACTTTAGCAAGCCAATAACTCTACCATAGTTTTGCTCTAAGTATAAGTGGGAAATGCATAATGATTGGCTTTTCATAGAAAAAACAAAATAAAGGGCAGAAGAGTGAAAGGAAGTTTTGATATATAGCAACAACATTTTGAAAGATTCTCACAAATCTCACTTATATAATCAACCTGATACTTGCACAAGAATTTATTTATTATGTAGTATCACAAGGTTGAAATAAACATAAGTTTTTTTCTGAGAAAAATTTTAATATTCTTGCTTAATTTGACATTTATCCTCTGTGATTGATTTTGTTGAAGTAATTTTGATAGAAGCTAAAAGCAATAATAGCAGTATTAATTTTCACAAATTCATACAAAAACAGTGAACACCCATTTCTGTTTTTTTCTAGATAATTCAGACCATCAGTGCAGTAGATAGAGATGAATCCCTGGAAGATCACCATTTTTCTTTTAATCTATCTGTGGAAGACTCAAACAACTCAAGTTTTACAATCTCAGATAACCAAGGTAACAATATTCTTCAAAAATTATCCTTCACTTTGAAGAAATTTATGGCATTGGAGTAATACTGTTTTTGCAATATGATAACATTGAGAAATACAACAAAAGAGTGACAATGAAAATGGAAGACATAACCCAAAATAAAGTTCTAAAACTACTGACTCCATTTTTCAATCCATTTCATCAAACTAAAAGCACTCATTAAAGTCAGCATTTGGCTATAAGCCATTTTTGGGTCTGATCAGACCTACAGACATAATTACAGCTCTGATATGGTGCCATCCACATCCTCATCTATCTCAGTCATCAAACTATGCCTGAGGAGAAAATGATACATACTTATCTTACAGAGAAGAAACATTGACTGATTCACAGATATTTGAAGCTATTCATTAGGACCTATAAATATATGAAGTTGACTTAAGTCTGTTTTTTTCCCCCCAAAACACAGAGATTTTGTGAATTGAAGGAGCAAGTGTTCAGAAGGATTTTGTGTGCACTGAATTTCTATTCCCTTCTTATAGAAGTAGATTGACTATATAAGGCCATTCTGTTACTTTTTGATTTGCTTTAGAAGAGACTTTCACTTATAATATGGATTTCTTTTTCTTTAATCTCTATACCCCAAATTTATGAATTACTCAAATATCTGCAACCAAACTCCTGCCACTGTCCACTACAACTGAGATTAAGCTCTCATCCAGATCTTTTCTAGGACTGTTCACACAAATGTGTTTCTCTTCATTTTATTCTTTTCAAATTTCTCCATCATGATAACTCATATACACTTAAAATGAAAACACAAATATTGATATAAAATAGATATTTATTATTATAAAAGAAATTACTAAGGCAAAATAAATATACTGAAACAGAAAGAAAAATAGATTTGCCTTAATGTCTGTGGTCACAAATAATTTAATAAAGTTCATAGTGACAAGATGTGACAAGATATCTCTGAAGTCTGCCCCCGGTGAAAAGATTTACATGGGTTTCATAGACTTCAAGAGCATCATTTTTTTTAGCTTGGAAAAGATAATTTGGGATAAGTTATAAGTAGGATTACATTTCAAAAGGCTTCTGTTTATTTTCATTGTAGAGTTACTGTCTTTTGACGTTTGTGTGATTATAAACATATTGAGAAACGGCAAAGCTACTTATCCTGAGTCAAAAAGAAAAACAGGAAAACTCAGTTCTGAGACCTGAGAAATCACACTGAGAAAGGTTATGTAGAGTACTTTGGGATTTAGGGAAAAACAATTTCATATACATTGAAGTAGATCTTGTTCACTGTCATTCATCAGGATGACAAATGTTTAAGGAGTCTCTGATACTTGACTAGAACATAAGTTAATAATGTCAAATGAAACATCTTAATACAACCAAAATAAGTTTTATATTTTCTAATTAGAAAACATAACATCTGAGATTACATGCTGTTATAGTTAGAAACCAAAGACTCTTTTGTGTTTGCAGTATCTGTGAAATTGCTAGGTTATATGTATTAGAATAATCAGAATCATGTGCAAATAGTCTAGGTAAAACCAAGAGTATCAGTGTAAGTTTAATGGTAGTCCCCACTATAAGTGCTGATATCTAAGTTTATGATTTCTATATTTGTCAAAGACATTTTGGAACTGATTAAATACTTCATATAATTACCTAATTAGGACTTGAATAATGATAAATCTAATTTTGGGGTGGATCTTTTTGTTTCTTTAAATGAAAAAAAAATTCTTTTATTTGAACATATATGAGCAGAGTATTGCTTCTAATACATATTACTTACAAATATATACTGTCTAAAAACTTATGTATGTGGTTTTTGTTTTAGATAACACAGCTGTAATAGTCACTAATAGAACTGGTTTTAGCCTTCAAGAAGAGCCCATCTTCCACATAACCATCTTAATTGCGGACAATGGAATCCCACCACTTACGAGTACAAACACCCTTACCATATACGTCTGTGACTGTGATGACAGCGGGAGTACTCAGGCCTGTGCTAATAAGGGTCTTATGTTTTCCATGGGATTCAGGACAGAAGTCATGATCGCTATGCTGGTGTGCGTTGTGGTAATATTTGGTAAGCGGTGCTGAACTGAACATGTCTTCATTTTAAACTAATACGATGAACACATGAGTGAGGTAATCTCATAGCAACATGTGTGCATAGTTATGTTTGTTCTTCTGAATGGTCTACAATTTTAGGTCAAATGGATCTCTTGCTTCTGTGAATTTAAGTCTTTTACTACATTTATGAGATCATACAGCATTTGTCTCTGTATACCTGTCTAATGTCACTTAATATAATATCCTCTAAGGTTAATCTGTGTTGTCACAAAAGATAGGAATCCCTCATTTTAAGGATGAATAAAATTCCACCATGTATGTCTACCATATTTTCTTCATCTTATCATCCAGACTGATACTCAAGTTGATTCGGCAATGTGACTTGTGAATAATGTTACATTTGAATGACATACTCTTCATTTTTTAAATAGTTGAGGCAATGTACATAAGGAATAGCTTGATTTAGTCATTCCACAATGAATACAAATATCAAAACATCATGTTGTATGCTATGGCAACTAAAAATTTAAAACAATCCTTTTACTGAAAAGACAGTAAGTGTTAGGATTGAGGAATGTAAAAGAGAGTTCTCTTTAATCAAAGCACTAAACACCAACAAATCTCATCTTCATTTTTATTACCATTGTTTCTGTGAGCAGATAAGTTATACTAGTATTATAGATGAGGAAGCTAAACCTTAAAACGTCTTACTCTTTAAAGACTACAAAAGATTCATCCAGCCTGCACTTTTCACATTTTCAACACCAAAGTATACAATCTAAGTTTTGTGTTTGCTTGCCTTATAATCTCACACCAAAATCAATACAAATTAATTCAGTGTTGACAGCAACTGTATTCATCCTAAGTGACATATCATTCAGGACTTGCTGTGCCTTCATTGTCTTCATCTTTGTCAGAGATACAAAATGCCATGCCTTCTTATTTCACTACCCATCCACTACCCATTCTTGTGGATCCAGGTTCAGTTTTTCAAATCGTTTTGAATAGTCTTTTATCATAAAACTGAATTGAGAAGTATATATCTAGGTAACGGAAGTCTGAAGCAGTAATAATAGTACAATAGTCTAGTGTTTCAGGGACACACATACTGAGCTGCTCTCAGGAACAGAATTAATAAGCCTGAAACCTTACAGAGAAACCACATACAGTTTCACAGTTGTATATGTGTGGGTAGGAAGTAGGGGCCAACAATTATCATTGTCCTTGAAAGCTTCAAAAGTACCATCTCTAATTCAAGTTGGAAAATTATTAGAACCCTTACTAATTCAACCCTGTATCTCTGTGTTTTAAAGTACACTACCTAAATTTAACATGATGACCTTACTGATTTCAAGGGTGTTATGTTTTTAAATGTAAGGTATTTTTTTAAACATTTTATCATTTATTTTAAGTACTATTTGATTTGTAATAATCAAATGATATATTTGTAATTGTCAAAACATCTATTTACAGGGTAAAATGTCTTCATACTTGTATACATTGTGGAAAAGTCAAATCAGAATAACTAAAATATCTATTATTTCAGCTTTATCATTTAGTTGAAGACATTTAAATTATTTAGACAATTTTACAATACACAATCCATTGTTGTTAAGTATAGTCACCTTGCTGCACAATACAATGGCAGAATTTATTCCTCCTCTCTGCCTGACACTGTACTCATTGAGCAATGTCTCTCCATCCCATGTTCACCCTCCTTCCCACCTTTTGCTAAGGAGTTTTTCGTGTGTATTCATTAGTGATATTTGCCGGTAGTTTTCTTTCTTGTAATATCATTGCTTGGTTTTTGTATTAGGATGAGATTGGCCTCATAAAAAGGACATGGAAGCATTTGGAAATTCCAAAAAATTCCCAAAATCTCTTGAAAGATTTTGAGAAGTATTGATATTAGTTTTTTGTACTATTTGGTTGAATTCAGCTGTAAAACCATAGATTTCATGGAAGACTTGTTACTGATAAATTTCCTTTACTGCTATTTGTTCTGATTTTCAAATTCTCCATGATAGGTTACATGTTTTAGGAACCTACTCATTTTTTTTCTAGGTTGGCATATTTGTTGGCTTGTATTTTTTCACAGAATTTTTACGATTTCCTTTTTGTTTCATCAGTTGTAATCCCCTTTTATTTTCAATTTTGTGTATCTTCTTTTATATGTAGTAGTGCTCTATCCACTTCACCCCTCTGTATACTTTCCCCTTCCCCCTAACCATTAACACCCCCTTCTTAAATTTTTCCAGCTCAACATGCTTTTAAGATAATCTTTTGTAATAAATGTTGATTCTGAATTAATCAAGATTATGATTCAAATACCTGATAGTTTGGAATGTCTGAAATTAATATGGTATCCAAGAACACAGGCTCTAAATCAATTTTCTGGTTTTGAAATGTAAGCTTTCTCTTCCCAAATATGTCTTTCTGGGGATATGATTCATTTTCTCACCTTTAATAGGATATGATCATTACGGGTTACATAAGATCCAAATGAATTAATAAATACAAAGTGTACAGAATACTTCTTGATGTACTTTGCAGTCAACAAATACTAACTTAGAAAATAATCCTGACACAGACTTTTGTGTCAATGAGGAAAATCGAACTATTTTGTTCTGAACAAATCATTGGTCACTAAGGTTGCCAAATGCATTCACATTCGAAAATATCCCATTCTTCCACTGTGTTCTATTTCAACATCTTAGAAAAAATTTTGAATTTCAAATTGATCATCATCAAAAATAGTTCACTCAATGTATGTGGTATTTTTCTCTAAATTGTCAGGTAGAAAAACTGACATACATCCTAACATCATTTGTAAGTCCCGACGTTAAATTTTCAACAACAAATGCATCTTGTCTCGTAATCATAAATTTGACCATGTGTCTTGAGTTTGTGACACAGGCAAGGATTACGAGTTTACAGGATGCTCACATGTTAACTCATTTTCTGATGTGCTTTCCTCATTAGGGTTCATTTGTTTGATGTTGGCTCTGAAACATCAAAGAAAGCAGACTCTGTTTCCGGAGAAAAGTGAGGATTTCAGAGAGAATATATTCAGATATGACGATGAGGGAGGTGGAGAAGAAGACACAGAGGCCTTTGATATCGTGGAGCTGAGGAACAGCACGACCAGGCGGGGAAGAAGGACCCGGCAGAGCAGCCCTGCGGCCCTGCGGATGCTGTACCGGCAGTCCTTGCAGGTGGGCCCGGACAGCGCCCTGTTCCGCAAGTTCATCCTGGAGAAGCTGGAGGAGGCCAACACTGACCCCTGCGCACCCCCCTTCGACTCGCTGCAGACCTTTGCTTTTGAGGGAACGGGGTCGCCAGCCGGGTCCCTGAGCTCCCTAGGTTCAGCACTCACAGATCAGGATGGAAATCTTGGTGACCTTAATGAGCTGGGACCTCGTTTCAAAAGATTAGCAAGCATGTTTGGGTCTTCAGTGCAGTCAAACCATTAGGGTTTTGCAACATCAGAACTCAGAAAGGCCTACTGGGTTTGGATAACATGATCGTCCTTTGAGAGTCGTCTCATCTGGCTTTCTGCAGGGAGAGGAACTGTGATTTTTATTTTTCTGGTTTCATTGGAGTTAATACCCAGGGTTATTTCAAGCTACTATATATGGTTGGAAATATTACTCTGAATTTTTTGTTTCATCAATGCAAGTTCTCAAATATTTTTGTGCAAAAAAGGTACTAAGTTAAGCTATCTTAAGATATTATTTCATCTGTTCTTTCTTCTCTGACAAAGTAAGAATAAAGTGTGTATGTGTATTAAGTACTTAATGCTACACAGAGATAAAGTTTAACACCTAGGAAAATCTGGGTGATTACATAAAAGTTTATAAACATTTTCTAGCTATGAATAAGCATGTTTCTGGCTGAGAGTCCATGAATTATTCTAGTTTGATACTTAAAAATGTTTCTCAAAACCACTTTTTAAAACTAATTTCAAATGTGTACAGATATTTGATGTATATGCATTAATCAGAGCTACATATTATAGATTTGTATTTTTATATTACAGCTTTGTATGAAAAAAGGACAGAAAAATATGCTTGCTAGACTTCCATAGATTATGTTTATAGGCAACCCAAAATACACTTTTCTCAGATCAAATAAAATGGCAAAATGCATGTCTACATTTATTCATCAATGCATTGAAACTTGTATAACTCATAGAAAGTGTGAAAGCCTTAAGCTTATTTTTGTTTCTTGTAATGATGATATAAACACAAGACAGGGATTAAAAAAAAACTAGACAAGGGTTCTGGATTCCAACTTGGACTACTATTTATTCTAAATTCCTAAATATAATGTTCAACTGCACTGATTCTTACGATTCCTGTAAATAAAACAATGTACAATTCTCTACCTTTCCTTTTTTGTTTAGAGCTTGGAATATGACTGATTCCTTCGTGAATTTTTAATTGTTGCATATGCAAATTACTAAATTAGGTAAATTAGTAGTTACCCTGATTGCAGCATCATGGAGTAATTGGACATAAACCTATGGAGAAACATTTATGAGATAATAAAACACCTCAACTTTAGCTGACCTTTTAAGTATGATCCTTAGTATCTCCAAATCAAGATGGACTTCAAAATTCATTGTTTGAACAGAAAATAAAGTCATGAATCCATTGCTTTTCAAATTGTAAATGTGATCATTTTTATTACTACTGTGCGAGACTGAGCTGAACCAAATTGGCTGTTTGTGTTTAAATAAAATATTCCAAGTAATTTTGAGATATAGCAGTGTAGTTGAATGGTTATAATGTTTTCTGTGTACTTTGAAACTTAAGCCTCCATAGCATATAAGAAAAATTTTTCATCGACATGAACTGGAATCATTATGTTGACGACATGGACCTTATTACTTTAGAAAAGCATGAGAAAATCAGATTTGAAATACAAGCAGTTAAGGAAAACATAAACGTAGAAGGGAAGATAAAATCTTAGGAAATTCCTATGAACTTATATGATTATGTACTTAAGGACAAGTAAAAGTATAAACAAATATTGGGAGGGTTGGTCAGTACTGGAGTTTGATCTCAGGGCTTCAACTTGAGATCTACCACTTGGCTTCTACCACTTGAGCCATACCCCAGCCATTTTCAGCTTGAGTTACTTTTGAAGTAGAGTGTTGTGTTTTTGCCTGTGTTTTTACCACATTATTCCTACTTATGCCTCTCTCCTTGCTGAGATTTCAGAAATAATCCACCACACCTGGCTTTTTGTTGTGATAGAGTCTCACTACCTTTTTGCTTCAAGCTGGTCTTAAACTGCAATCTAATCTCCACGTCCCAAGTAGGTGGTACTGTAGACATGTACAGCTGTGCCTTGCTCTAAACAAACTATTTTAAGAAGCAAAAATTTGTAAGACAACAATAAATGTATGACCATAGAAAAGTTTATATTTCTACCATATTGTTGTAAAAAAATCAAGAGTACATTTAAGGAAATTATCATGACTTACTCTGTGAAGTGTTGTTCACTGTATTTAAAAAAGAGTGTTGGGTAATCTTGTTAGAAGAACTAGAAATTATAATAAACAACAGGTGAACCAATTTGTAGAAAGTAGGTTAGAAAAGGTATTGGGGTCTTTTGAGGGTAACAGTAGGTTCTGGTGACTGTAAACTGGGATAAACAACTTGCAAAATTGGTACAGTGTTGATGCTACAATAGGTCCATTGTTTCTGTCAATGACACTAAGCAGATGTGTTAAAATTGATCCTGGTTTAATTAATGATAGGACTTGCAATGTTAGGTTACATTAGGGAAGAACATATACAATTGTTTATATATTTTTGAGACTATAAAATGTCCTCTTTAATAACAAAAAATAGTCTGATTCTAGCAGAAAAGGTGTAACTTCCTAGAAATTATACTTGGTAATATTTTAATAACTGCTTTATCTTTCATCTGTTCACATGGGTATTGCCAGAACACAGCTGTTTCCTAAGCTAACAGCATTATATTAGTTTTGAAAATGTTAATAAACTCTAAATTATTGCAAATATTTATGAAAATGGCATAGTTTCACTTTAATAATCATGGCACTTAAATATCCCTTTCAGCTGACTCAGTTTCATAGGTAAGCTTCAAATTATTAATGGTTTTTAAAAAACTTAACCTTCTTTGTGAGATTGAGAAAGTATTATCTATACTAATAGTTTACTCAGTACATGGGCTTGAATCTCCTAATCTTAAGTTTGAATTACTTCCCCTTTATTTGAATAACTCTAAGACCTTTGTCAAACTTCTTAACTTTTCTGGACTGCAGTTGATAAAAATGAGGTCAGGACTGGAGAGGTAGCTTAGTGGTAGAATAATTTTCCAGCTTGCAACTGGCTCTAGGTTTGAACCTTAGCACTAAGAATAAGCTAAAAATAGTAAATAAATAAAATAGTAAATAAATAAGTTCCAATTTTGTTATTTCACATTGCTATAGTGGGAAATAAAAAATAAATTATGTAATACAAGCATCCCAAGCTGTGCTTGGTGGATACAAGGGCCCAGTCAACAAAACTGCATCATTAAACAGCTGATCTTATTCAACTGTACTGAGATCCCCTTCTTCCCTATCACTGCATGCTCCCTGTGGCTTCATAGCATGTTTGAAATATAAATCAACCTATGACCTGACACATATACTATGGATTATCCTGTCCTACTTATTTCTGCAGTCTCTCTCTCTTCTTATTTATACTTTTGTTAATTCACTCACAATTTCATGTCCTATGCTTGAATGAATCTTTTCCCAAACAATTCCATTTTTCATTCCCTCCTCAGCTATCACTTTCTCTGGAACACCTATGTGGCCACTTTGCACCACTATAGCCTTATTTTGCCATTTATTTTTTATGGAATCATTTATATACTTGATATAATTTAATTAATATAATATAATACATAATATAATGTAATTAATATAATATATAATATAGTATGTAATTTTTTTGACTTCTCACTTATTAGAATGTAAACCATATGTGGGCAAGAAATTGTCAGTCTTGTTCCTTTATTTCTGTCTAAAAAAATATATCATACATAGTAAATGAGCAATAAGTATTTCTTAACTGAATGCAATATTGAACCCAAATCTACACAATTTAATGATGTACAGAATTTTTATTTATGTTCATTGTAATGTGAAAATGAATACTAACATGGAATTACTATATGTTTTAATTAATGTATTTTTAAAAGCAGGTCAGCACAAGACAGTTATTGGTATAGCAAACCTTATTTTCAAATTTAGCTAGAAATTATGTGAACTTGACTTTATAGCTTGTTTGGACTCACTGATAATATACCTGAATGGAAGGAGTGCTGAAAACATCATACTACTCAGTCAAAATAAGTCCTTTGATGATCTGTGGAAAGTCTCATATGAATAAGTTCTCAAGAAGCATGACAAATATGAAAATATGAGCCATACATTCACTCCATAGTGTACAATGCATTGTAAAACACACAGGGATACTCACAACCTACAACATACCTCCATGTTCTTGTATATCCCAAACAACAGTATTAGACACAAACATGAAAAGCAAGGAGGTTAACTGGATTCAAGGAAGTAAGGGATGTGTGGTGTTTTATGTATTCAAATACATCAGTCTATCTGTCCTTTACCAAAATAGTGACTTCCTGGAAAAGAAGAAGGTGCCATATCAATCACAGGCATTACCTTGGAGCGTATTGGAATTTTTTGCTGTTTTTTCTGTCAATACCTCTGAAGATACCTGACTAATCCATCTGAAATGGCCTGAAAGATCAGTGGCAGAGTGCCTGTCATGAGGAAGGACACCGGCCATGAAATTACGATGGGTCCAGTGTGTTTACCATACCCCTCATCACTCTTCTCCCTATCCCTCCCCAACCCCAAAGAACCAAAAAAGACTGAGTGAGTGGGAGAGGACAAGACAGATTTTTATTCCAGATGTGAGATTAGTCCTTCTATTAAATAGAAATCAGATTTTTTTTAATATTTGAAAGTCACCAGAGGTTGTGAAAAATATCTGACATTTGATCAAGGTGTTTGTCACAAAGAGTGATACAAATTTGTCTACAACGTAAAAGTAGCAAACATTTTCAGGGTAATTCCCTTCAAGTTACAAACTAATAAATAAACTTTATACATTGCGATATAAGATCAAGTTGTATTTCATATAGTTCAAATAATAATTTTAAATTTCATTTTCTAATATAAGCCACAAACACACCAAAATAAATATAATTTAGTGTTCTTGAAATGTATGAAAACATATTAGAATAGTTTACACACTTTATTTTATATAGCCCCTTTGTGTTTATTCATTTCAATATTTAAGATATGTTAAGTACTATTGATTTCCACAGTGCTAAGTTTACCTGAACCACAAATAAGGATGGACATGATAAGGACATTATTTCTTGATTATATAAAGGAACAAGTCAATAGATTGTCTTAATGTTTTTTCTGTAATAGGAATTGCA